TAGTAATACTAATAATAGTAGTAGCAACAAGAACAACAGTAGTAATCATGTATAGTTATAACAGCAAGAACATCGGTAGTAATAGTAACAACAAATTAATACGGACGTAAGTGAATAACTCAATAATCTATCAGTTAGCCTTTCTAGTTATGTTCAGATCTACCATAGTTTATGGTCAGCATGTAGCAACTAACCAGTGACAGAACTGAAGAAAACACGGTATTCACCAATGCGCGCAAGGTACACCATGGCACTATAAGTATTGATTATTGTCGTTGCTGCTGTTGCTATGGACATCGCTGGTTCCCGCTCTCCGGACATATAAGTGTACAAGTATGTCTATATACAATTTGCATATATTGGTCCTTATACCTATACACCATATATATATATATACACACAGTTTTGTATAACATATAGTAAAATATATTTAAGTGTAATATTAAATACTAAAATGTTATGATATGATAATGCAATAACATGATACGAAAATTATGTTTTAGTACATATATTATTATATAATATGATGTGGCTCAATATATATATAGATTTATATCCTCGGAGAAACGGATCGCATTAAAGGCACCTGCATCCCACCTGATTGGGGCTGGCGCGAAGACCGATGCCCAGCCTCCATCACCGCCGGGTCCAGGCACCCAGTTTCTGCTTAGGGGCTTTGGGTTTATTGGGCCTAGGGTTTGGGTTTTACGGCGATCTAGCAGAATTAGATTGGTTGTACGGGCGAACCAGCAAATTACAGCCCACCCCTAAACCCTGCTTCTCCAGACCGAAAGTTGCAAAAGGCTGGTTGTGGAGGGTTTAATGTTCTAGGTTTAGATCGAGGGTTTAGGGTTGAGGGTCGAAGGTTTTTAGAGTTTCGGGGTTAGAAGGGTCTTGCAGGTGATCTTTGGGCGGGGCTTGAATATGCAGGCCATTCCTGAGTGTTCTGTCATATAGTTCTCGTATACAGGCCCGACAACTCTTCTCTGATCATTCAGGTGCCTATATGGAGCAAGGTACACGAAACAAACGTGGTATGCCTGCACTTGTGACATTTTTTGGGTTTGAGTTTTGGGTTTGGGGTTAGCCTAGGCACATCAACACTATATACCCAGCCGGGGGCTTGTTACCTTCATATGAAAGCTACGCTAGGTACTCGAGATCCTGCTTCTATTTGAAGGACGAGTTGTACGAACGGGCCTTCAGGTAGGGTTCACGTCACGTTCAGGGTACACCATGGGGTTCAGGATTTTTTGGATTTGGACAGTCGAAGCTTTGCAGGGTTTGCGCCTGGGAGTATGCATTCGTGTTGGATGCTTGTCATTGTGGCCGTTATTGCAGCAGCAGCAGTAGTGGTAGCCGTACTGGTGGCAACGACCGAAGGCGAGACCGATACAGGAGCGCATATGTTGCTCCTTTGCAAAGGCACGCAATGCGGTGTTTTTTTTTGGCTGGTAAGGGCAGATCAGAAGTGATCTTCACGTATACTTAATCATAAGTGGGAAGTCACCAAGCGGATCCCGCTCAAGACCACTCCTCAGCCATGCTTCGCGTTTTTGGCATTTCGGGTACAGAGCTTGCCGCACTACCTATGAACAAGCTGGCTTCCATGGACAAGCAAATGGACCATGGCTGCAGTTGGGAACCATGCCCAGTGAAAACCATGATGTGCCATCTTCGCAAAAGTCACGGCTTTCCAATTTGCATTCAACGTCTGCTCCGTGACGGCACCAGCTTGACAGGGCGTGACAAGTTGGATTCGCCTGCTGATCTGCAGCTGGTGCTCCTTGACCCCGCCAATGTTTCCGCATCGATTGTTGCAGAAGAACTTATAGAATATGCTGCCATGAACGGAGACATACATGTTGCATCGGCCTTGTTGAAAGGTGGAGCTGACATGAATTCTTGGGGCAGGAAAGGCATGACTGCATTGATCTGCGCTGCCTCTGAATCCCATGTTGAGCTCCTGCGCTTGCTTCTAGAAGCTCGTGCCAACACGAACTTGCAGGATAACTGTGGCATGACAGCTCTCGCGCATGCAGCACAACTAGGTTGTTTTGTGGCAGTGAAGCAGTTGTTGGAAGCTGGTGCAGACTATAATCTGCGAGATCTCCTCGGCATTTCACCATTGGCCCGTGCATCCATTCTTGGTTTTTTTCACATTGCGCGCTTGCTCTTAGAATGTGGCGCAGACGTTGATTTGGAATCCTTTACGGGATCTACACCTCTTATGGGTGCGGTATTGAATGGGCATCCTGACGTCGTCTTCCTACTGTTGGAGGCTGGGGCAGATACAGATTGGCAAGACTCGATCGGAATGACGGCTGTAATGTATGCTGCTTCCGGGAACGACATTGAAGTTCTACAACTTCTACTCGAGGCTGATGCGGACCTAGACTTGCAGGAATACGAACAGGGCCAGACGGCACTTCTTGCTGCTACAGTGCGAGGGCATGTTGATGTTGCGAGGTTACTTCTGGCGGCAGGTTGCGATCAGGACGTGGACGACATCGATGGCACAACGGCTCTTATGTTTGCATCCCAATCAGGCGCCGTTGAGTTGCTTCGGTTGCTTTTGGAAGCCGGTGCTAGCATGAACTATCAGGACAATTCAGGCACGACAGCGCTGATGTGGGCATCCCCCTGCGGTGAGGTTCCAGTGCTGTGCCTGCTGCTGGAAGCCGGGTCCGACAAGGAGCTGCCCGACAACGAAGGCAAGACCGCCCTCCATGTCGCATGTCAGAAAGGCTACGCTGACGTGGTAAGCTTGCTTCTCGAAGCTGGCTCCAAGAAGGAGGTCAAAGATCGATCGAAGGCCACGCCTTTTCATTATGCGTGTGATGGAGGCCATGTCAGAGTGGTGCGGCTGCTTCTGTCGGCCAGTGCTGACATGGAGATACAAGACCATGTCGGAATGACCCCTCTCATGCGATCATCGTGTGCAGGCCACGTGCAAGTTGTTCGTGCCCTGCTGGGAGCCGGTTGCGACAAGAACTCGTGCGACCATGGAGGGCTAACGGCTCTGCTTCATGCAGCTTACGAAGGCCATGTTGAAGTAAAGAGCTTGCTGGTATGAGCTGCATGGAATGTGGCGCGACTCTTCAAGTATGTGCTATGTGGTAAAAGTTGCAACACCCTTCCTTGCCATCCCACTCCACGAGCCTTTGGTTTGTGAAGCTTCGGCTGGTCGCATCAATCCCCTGATAGAAGTTCTCTTCTGCAGTGGCTTCGTTTAGGGTCTCATGTTCAGGCTTAAGGTAGTCAAAGGCTGCTGGGGAGCTGCAGGGCCCTATGACAGAGCGAATGTGAGATATGTGAGATCCTAGTGAAGAACTTACTCAGTAAGTTCAAAGGCCTTGGGCTCTAGACCTAAATCCTAAACCGAAAACCCTCGGGCTCTTAAGGTGTGTTCTGTGACCTGCGCTTCCAGGTTCGTGCTATTATAAAAGGATGGTACCCTGCAGTTCAGCGGCCATGTCCTCCTCATGGTCTTGGTTCTTGAGTAGTAACCTTTTGCCCTTTTTCACTGGTATGGTCCCCTTTTTCAAAACTGAATCACAGAAAAAAGGGTATGCCCTTATGATTTTGGGGTCTCTCAGGAGGCTCATGTTCAGATTCGGGGCCTCGCGTAGAGTCTTAGATCCAGGTCTTGCTCCAGATATGCTCTGATCAGTGCTCGTGGTCGTTGAAGATGAATCATGAATGCACGTTGAAACATATATACATATATCTTCACACGTGCATATGTATATACATACCTGCATAATTACATATATATATATATATAGACTCTGTGTGTGTATGTAGTAGGTATGTATGCATGCTGGTATGGATGTACGTATGTACGGATTGCAGTGGTTAAGCACCCCTACGAATCTTAGGATCTGCTCCTTACTTCCGCTGTCTCTGCTCTCTGGGCCTCTGAGAACAGATCTCCTCCGGGCTCTTATCCGGGTTGCGGTCGGGGTGTTTGGGTTGTAGGGTTTAGGGTTTGGGGTGTAGGGTGTAAGTCAGGGACTACGGTTCAGGGTTTAGGGTTGGGAGAATCCCTACCCGTTCATTTTCAGGCCTGCTTAGTTCTAGTAGGTGAAGGTACACTCTATAGCCCATACCCTAAGGGTCCATGTGCCTAAAAGTGTATACTTTGGCCTGAATGTAGTCCTTATATAGGTGCTTTAGGGTCAAAGTATATACTATTTGGGCACATGGACCCTTGGGATATCCAACGCCCGAATCTCCAAGATGCGGAAATCCCAACCGTTCTGAATTCCCAAACCCTACATCCCAACCTCCGCCCCACCTTTCCAATACTTCCAGGTTCTGAACCCTGAAACCCTAGTTGAGTGCCCCAAAGGCCTTAAAAGGCTAGATCACAAGCCCTAAACCCCTGAAACCTGAACCCTAACCTGACCCAAATCCCTAAGCCCTACAGCAGAAGCCATAAAGTTGGAACATGATACTCCTCATACCCTCAAGGTTAATTAAGCACAGGGATCCTAGCACTGATCCTCCTAAATCCACGTTCCAGCCTTTTTGGGTTCGCTGTAAATTCTAAGCTCCTGGAAAGACTCTCTAAACCGGCCCCTAATTCCTAAACCCTAAACCCCAAAATCCTACAAAATTCCCTAATCCGACCCCTACTCCCTAAACCCTAAACTTAAAAATCCTACAAAAACTCCCTAATCCGACCCCTACTCCCTAAACCCTAAGCCCTAGAATCCTACAGCAAACTCCCTAAGAAGCCAAAGCGCGAACCTCAAGGCGAACGGGACGCCATAGCCGGCGCCTCCGGCAAATGGATTTGTCTTGGGCTTGAAAAAAGGGACGCTGGGTTTAGGGTCTAGGGTTTAGGGTTCAGGGTTTAGGGTTTAGGGTTCAGCTTTCAGGATTTTGGTTTAGGGTTTAGGGTTCAGGGTTTAGGGTTCAGGGTTTTAGGGTTCAGGGTTTTGGTTTAGGGCTCCCTAAACCTCAACTTTGGGTTAGGTTTCGGAGTAGGATTTTTATCGAGTTTGGAGGTTTGAGGCCTATAGAGCTTATAGGATTTAGTTGGGTTTAAGCTTTGGAGTTTGAAGAGCTTGGGGCTTAGAGTTGAGGTTTAGGGCTTAGGGTTTAGGGTTTAGGGTTTAGGGCTTAGGGTCTAGGGTTTGGGGCTTAGGGTCTGAGGTTTAGGCTTAAGGCTTAAAGGTTGAGCATTCATGGTTGAGAACTGAGGGGTATCTGGTCTTGGATCTGGGCTGCAATCGGGCTCTGCATAGTCCATTGTGCAAACTCGACGTCTTGGGATACTGAGCAGTTCAGCATCAACCCTAAACCCTAAACCCTAAACCGTGATGAAGATCAGGGTTCACGGTTTGGGGTTCAGCCTGCTTAGTGCGTAGGTTCAAAACGCAGATCCTAGAATGGCTGAGCCAAGATGAACTGTAAAAACAGGCGCAGCTGCTGTGATGAGTACTCTCATAACCATCCCAGCACCTCCCGGTAGGGCGCAGGACGAATTCAGATTTCTGGGCTCGTGACTCTGGGTGTAGGGTTCTGAAAGTTGAGTCCCTTAGCCCTAGACCCTATTACCTAAACCCCCTAAGTCCTTAACCCCAAAGCTTACATCCTAAACCCTAAACCCCAAAGCTTAAATCAAAAACCCTAAACCCCAAAGCTTAAACCCTGCAGCCCCTAAAGCCCTAAAACTAAACCCTAAAAGCCTTAAGACCTAATAAGCACCTAAACCCTAAGACCGCGAGGACTTACGCAACCGTTCGCAGCGTCGCAGGCACGGTCGGCTTCATTCAAAGGGTTTAGCGAATAGGGTTTAGGGTGTTTAGGGAATAGGGCTCAGGGCTCGAGGGGTTTAGGAGGGAATAGGGTGAAGGGTTTAGGGGTCTGAATACATCATACTGGCTTGATCTCATGGAGTGTTTTACAACCATCCCCTGAAAAAAGCAGTGCTGGACCCTCAAGAAGGATGCCGAAGGAAGCATAATTCAGACTGAGAGGAGATGAAGACGTGCTTGGGGGTCTAGGGCTCAGCGAGAAAGTCATAGGCAAGGCAAATCCTATACCCCAAACCCTGAACCCAACGAACCCAGAAGCCGAAGAAGAGAACAGACAGCCCGAAGAAAGCCGCGTGTGATGCCACAGGGCCACAAAACCCTTTAAGCCCTAAGAGCCTTGAATCCGATGCCCCAAGAGCCCTAAAACCTAAACCCCAAACCCTGAGCCCCAAAACCCCAAACCCTAAACCCAAACAGCTCTAAACCCTAAACCCCAAACCCCCATACTCTAAATCCCCTAAACCCCCAGAAAAACCCAAACCAGCTCTAAACCCCAAACCCCTAAATCCTAAATCCCCTAAACCCCCAAAACCCCCTAAACCCCTAAACCCCAAACCCCTAAACCCTAAATCCCAATTTAGAGGACTTCCCACGTGCAGCTAAACCCTAAACCCCAAACCCCTAAACCCTAAACTTCTAAACCCCTAGACGCCAAACCCCTAAACCCCTAAATCCCAATTTAGAGGACTTCCCATGTGCAGCAAGGAGGACACTGCGGAGTCTGTGGAGCCTCCACAGGGCTTCTGCAGCACGGCCTGCCAGGCCTTGCGAAGCCGGCAGTACGTCGCCGTGCTGCTTCTGGGCTGGAGGGTTCAGGGGTTTAGGGTTGAGGGTTTAGGGGTTTAGGGTTTAGGGGTTTAGGGTTTAGGGTTTAGGGTTTAGGGTTTAGGGTTTAGGGTTTAGGGGTTTAGGGTTTAGATATAGTTCAGCGTTGGGCTTGAACACTAAACCTTAAATCCTGAACCCTAAAGCTATGATTCGGCTATGATCATCAGGACATACGGGGATTATGTGAGAAACATCAAGTCAGATGCCTTGGCAACTCAGGCTGTTCTACCTGCTGAACCTCTTCTTCTACCGCTGCATGCAAAGCTGGCGAAATGCAGAATTAGAGTGGAAGGCCCTAAGCCCTAAACCCTAGACCCTAAACCCTAAACCCTAAACCCAACCCCCTACACCCCAAATGGAAGGACCAGCAGATCACAGAAGCAGGAGGTCAAGGCCTTGACGTTGTACTGCAGCAGCTGGGTGCAATTCAGTCTAGGACATATTCCGGTGGGTAGTTACCGTTATAGGAGCCTTACAGAAGGTCTATATACCCTATAGAAGCCTTATAGAAGCCCTAGATAACCTAAACTCCCCACCGGTAGTTTTCTTTAATTCAGTGTTTAGGGCGGAGGGTTTATGGCTCAGGGGTTAGTCTTGTGAGGACTGCTGTGCACGCGATTCAAGCCGTACTCCTCGTCTGCGAAAAGGTTTACACACGGCCCAGTTCTAAGAACTATGAACCTTAGGGACTAAAGGAACCCTAAAAGGGTTTAAGGTTCATATACCTTATATAGGGATCCATAGTACATGGGAATAAGGCCCCGACATTTGAGGGTCATTTGGTCCAGCCCAGGCTGAATACCTTCACATCCATGGGCGCCTCGATCCACTTGGTGGTGATTCCTATTTTCGGCTGGCTGGTGGCGCGATTTGGGTCTGATCATGCGCCCGTCGTGGCCAGCACACTCTTGCTGGTCGTTTGGCAGGGCTTGCGGCTTATCCACACAGATTGGAACCTGCCCATCTTCAATGTCCTCGCGCCAGTTCTTCCTCAGCACCTTTTACACCTATGTGTCCACAACGTGCCTCGCCTCGCAAGAACTTTTTACATTCTCCTCTTGAGCGAAAAATTACGCAGCCTCTCTCTGAGGATCCAAGTAGTATAAGGGGTCGGAGTACTTACTAACCCTTACCCTCAAAGGACTCAAATGTTAAGGTTTTGGGGCCCAAAGCCCCTATTACATCAGGTTTTGGGCTATGTTGATGCTAAGGGTAATCGTCTTCCCTTATTATGGTCCCTATATAACTGTATTAAAATAAACCCCCAAACCAGAAGGCCCCTGCAGTATTCACGTTTTGATACGCATAGTTTCCCCTAAACCCTAAGCCGTTCCGCACAGTTCGCAGCGCTGCAGGGTCCTTTCTTGATTCCTTTTCTGGGGTTGATGCCGGGTCCCTAAGTCTGGTGAGGTTGAGGTTTGGGGTTTCGTGTTTAGGGTGTAGGGCTTAGGGCCTAAACCCTAAACCCTAAACCCTACACCGTTTAGGGTTTGAGCTGCGTCCTTGAGGCGCTCCGGGGGCTTACGTAGATGGTAATTGATGATTCGGAATACCCTCCTTCCTTAGGGACGACATGAACCCTAGAAGGGTTTAAGGTTCATATATCATATAGGGGTTCATAGTATACGGGAATAAGGCCCCTACTGTTAAGGGTCATTTGCTCCTCAAGGTTTAGGGTTCTATTATCCACAGCTATGACATACGAAGGCCCCAATCCTTGAAGTACGGATCGCCCTTTCAATCCGTCGCACAGGTTCCCGCCGGAGGTCTTCGCGACGCTTGCAGGGCTGCCGCCCCTCTTCGCAGGCGCATCATCCTTTTGGTGACTCCCTTGCTTGGACTCGTGCTCCGGGAGTTTGCAGGGGATTTCACAGCCGCTCAGCAGAAGATTCGGTTTAGGGTTTAGGGTTTGCCTTAAACTACCAAAACCTAGTTTTTTGTAGGGTCCCTAAAAATTCTATATTGGGGTTTATAATAAGGACCTACAAAAAAGGTAGGTTATGGTAGTTCAAGGTAGGGTTCAAGATAGATTTGCAAGGCTTCAAGCAGCAGGTACCAAGAGAGGCTCGGTGTGCTGGACATCCTACTTGGAGGATCATGGGACTTAGTAAGCAAGGTTACAAGTACCTGAATTGGGGTTACAAGTAATTATAAGTATAGTTAACTTATTTATAACCCTACTTACTAAGTCCCATGATCCTTTAAGTACGCATCCTCCTTTAGACACTCTTCAGACACTCTTCCCACACCTATAAGCTCTCCCTGGCACTGCCTAGACCCTAAACCCTAAACCCTAAACCCTAAACCCTAAACCCTAAACCCTAAGCCCAAAGCCCCGAAGGCCCAAGGCCCCAAAAACCTGGTGGATGTAGGGTTTAGGGTTTAGGGTTTAGGGTTTAGGGTTTAGGGTTTAGGGTTTAGGGTTTAGGGTTTAGGGTTTAGGGTACCCTAAACCCTAAACCCTAAACCGTTGGATGCATTGCCAAGGTCATGATCATGATTCAGCTCTGCATTGCGGCCGCTATGCTAGGACTGTGCTGCTACCGGGCTGCAGTGTGTTCAAGCCGTGCATTTTCAGCCGCAAGATGTTGAAGTTAAGGGAAGCTTCTTAGCTAAACCCTAAGCCTAAACCCTAAACCCTAAACCCTAAGCCCTGAACCCAAACCTTTTTGGGTCCTTTCTCATATATCCAAGACGGTAGAGGGCTCCTCCATGCGAAGCTGTTTCTCCCCGCAGAAAAGCTCCCGGCCTGAGGGGCATCTCCTTCTAGGGCCTAGCTGGACCCTAAAGAACCTACCCCAGAGGGTCCGAGTGCCCAAATAGGAAGGTTTTAGGTCCCCAAATCCATACTCTGAATGGTTTTTGGACCTTGAAACCCTACTATTTGGGCAGTTGGACCCTTAGGGTACCTTTTTAGGGCTCCTTATTATGATTTCTTTACATAAGTTAGGGTTTAGGATGTCGGGTTTGGGATTTATTTAGGTTGAGGGTTCCTCTAAGCCTAAACTCCTAAGCCCTAAACCCTAAACCCTACACCCTAATGTAGGGGCCTAAATACATACCAATACTATTTTGGGGTTCCTTATTCGAACTATAGTACGTAGAATATACCCCAAAACCCTGTTCTAATTATTAAGGCCCCTACATTAACGGGGTTTGTGGGTTTGGGACTCAGGTTTTAAAGGGACGTTGGAAGCTTTGCGCCCCGAGGCTTTGGTTGGCTACGGCATCGCCTTTGCCCCACAGCCGCCGTAGAGACTGAAGTTGGCATTGAAGATGCTAAACTCTGATGAGCACCTGCCAGTCTGGGGTTTAGGGTTTAGGGTTTCGGGGTTCGGGTTTAGGGTTTAGGGTTTAGTTGTTTAGGGTTTAGGGTTTAGGTCTAGGACCGCTTCAGGTGGGTAGCTTACCTCTATATAAGCTCCGCATGGGCTCCATATAAGGTTTATACTTGGGGGGTCGGGGGGACTTAGTAAGTAGTTATTTTGTAGAGTTAGAAGTATCATAACCCCAATTAGGATCCCATCTTTCAGCACTTGTAACTCTACTTACTACCTACTTACTAAGTCCTCCGACCCTCCAAGTTACCCTTAGCATCAAAATAGCCCCAAAGCCATATAGAATAGGTTCTTTGGGCCCAAAAGCCTTAGAATGTGAGTTCTTTGAGGGTAAGGGTTAGACCACTTCTAACTCTACTTACTACCCTCCAAGTAAGAGGCTTGTATGATCCACCCACACATGCGCGAAGCTGCCCACCTGCAACTGTCCTCTACGCTCTGGACGCCTGAAATGTGGGTCATTTGTAACCCGAAACCCTAAAACCCTAAAGCCCTAAAGCCCTAAACCCTAAAACCCTAAAGCTCTAAACCCTAAACCCTAAAACCCTAAAGCTCTAAACCCTGTAACCCTAAAGCCCTAAACCCTAAACCCTGTAACCCTAAAGCCCTAAACCCTAAACCCTAAAACCCTGTAACCCTAAAGCCCTAAACCCTAAACCCTAAAACCCCAAGCATGACGTGGCTTTGGAAATCTCGAGAAGCTTCGATCGGGACCTTGCGCAGATCCTCGGATAGCTCCCCCATGGCTTTCTCGACTCGGCAGGTCACAAACGTAGAAGGGTTTAGGGGTTTAGGGGTTTTAGGGGCTTCAGGGGTTTAGGGGTTTAGGGTTTTAGGGTTTAGGGTTTTAGGGTTTAGAGTTTTAGGGTTGACGGTTATCTCGTGGCTCAGATCTTAGAATGAAGCCGTAGCTACAAACCCTAAACCCTAAACCCTAAACCTGCTACATATTGTGTTACGTACTTTTTCTGTACCCTTAAATCCGAAGCCTAACCTAAACCCTAAACTGTCTCTTTTGCTTGGACCTGGAAGAGTCAGAGAACCAATATATCAGTCGCCGAGCGGCATTTTCTTTCCTGACAGTCATCTCTATGAGATGCCTGTCAGACTTTTCGCGGCGGGCAGTGATCCAGAACTATCTTCCCTGGTGCTCATTAGGGAATGGAGGAGTGCACTAATGTTCACGTCGTATTACTGTAAGAACCCCGGGCGAGGGGGTTTAGAAACCTCGTAGCCCGCAGCCCGCGACTACACCCTAAACCTTAAAGCTTAAAACCTAAACCCTAAACCCGAAAACCTTACACCCCTAAACCCTAAACCCCGAACCCTATATTTCGCGCCAGGGAGTAAGGTTCACTTCACCCCACCGTCTTTGCGGAAGGCTTGCGAGCTGGCCGTCAGACCCTGAGACCCAAACCCTGGAGCTCCATGTGAGGGTTTATAACGGTTTATAGGGTTTAGGGTTTAGGGTTTTACTGCAGGGTTTAGGGTTTAGGGTTTTAGGGTTTAAGGGGATGTTTAGGGTTTAGGGTTCAACGCACTTTCGTAGCCTTTTCCTGATGCTTCCAGGGTTTTAGGGCTTGGGGCATTGGCGGCCATCCGAAAGCCGCATGTCTAGGACATTTTCAGGTGGGTAGTTACCGTCATAGGAGCCTTATAGTTATAGAAGGTCTATATACCTTATGGCAGCCTTATAGGAGCCCTATATACCCTCAACTCCCCACCTGCATGATTCCCAAGCTTGCAGTGCTTTTCCTTCATCTGGCTTGCGATGAAGCGCTGCAGCTTTCAGACTTCCATGGAAAGCTTCCAAGCATCCTCCCCGCGTTAAAAGAAGAGGCGGAGATGGGCTTACAGGGTTTCGGGTGTAGGGGTTTAGGGTTTAGGGTTTAGGGGTTTAGGGTTTACGGTGTAGGGGTTTAAACCCTAAGCCCTAAACCCAGGGTTCAGGGTTTAGGGTTATAGGGTTTATAGGGTTTAGGGTGCGAGGATTGTAGGGTGTTGGGGCTTTGGGTCTCTGAAGCGTTGGGTCTGACAGTGACAGTGCAGGGTGTCCCTAGAACCCTCAAGTCTTAACCCGTACTTGGAGGATCATGGGACTTAGTAAGTAGGGTTAGAAGTACCTTAATATATTGGGGCTATAAGTAGTTATAAGTATAGTTACCTTATTTATGCAACCCTAGTTACTAAGTCCCATGATCCTTTAAGTAGCCCCTAGCCCTGCGCTATGGGGCAATGGGGTGTGGAGGATCGGAAGTCATGGAACTAAGAGGGACGCAGGGACCAGGAGTTCATGAGTTTATGGGTTTCAGTGCTTAAGGTTTAGGGTTTAGGGTTTCGGGCTTAGGGTTAGGATGTTTTCGGAGTGTTGTCAGCGTAAGCTCCGGGTGGCGAGCTGGCAGCTTAAGCTAAAGCCCTAACGGGACTCGTCAAGCCTAAGCCCAAGTCTTCTTTCTTAGGGTCTCGATTCTGTTCAAATGTTGAACATACCCCAGAGCCCTATTCTGATCTTTAAGGCAATCTACGATCCCTAAGGGTCCCAGTATTCCTAATTACAGGAGTTGGTGTCTTTTTCCCTTAGCATCGAAATATCGCAAAAGACTTACATAGTAGGGTCTTTGGGCCCAAAAGCCTTACAATGTGAGCCCTTCGAGGTAAGGGTTTCGGCTAGAAAAACCATAAATAAGGACTTTTTGGACCCTTAGGCGATGGAGGGTAACTTGTATGAACCTTAAACCCTAAACCCCATTAAAGCCCTAAGCCCTTAAACTTTATGCCCTAAACCCTAAACCC